CACACACACACACACACACACACACACACACACACACACACACACACGGCAGGCTTCTCGCAAATGAGCTCAGCGGGCTTCAGATAACTTAGAATACAAAGTACATGACAATATGTGTGCTGGTTTTACAATGTACTTTAGTTACTGATTGATACAGTGTGCATGCTTGATTGCGATGTGCCGGGTTATTTAACACTATGTTTCCAACAAATATTCTGCCTCATTCAGGTAGAGAAAACTCCAAGCAGGAAAACATAAATATGTTCCGGAGTACTTCACATGAACGGGTTTCCAGAGCCTCACCTTCCTCCCCACATACACGGGGATGCCGATGATCATGGCGGGGATGGCTATGCCCGCGATGAGTGCGATGCCGACGGGGGCGCCCACCAGTGTTCCCAGTTGCCAAAGGATCTTCTTCTTCCTGCTCCATGGCTTCTTCCCCCAGAAAGTACAGCCTGACGGACTGAGAGAGGGAGGAGATTAAGAGAGAAAACAATGGAGGCTGAGCATCATACAGTCGGTAACAGTAATAGCTCTTCAGTGTTTTCATCCCATGTTACACAACTGACGGGAATATGTTCCTCCCTGTGCTGCAGGCTTTATGGCCATCACAAAAATACTTTATTGATGAATTTAGAGAGGTAGACTAACGAAACTTGCTGTACAGGTTTCAAAATCTCTGCCGGTACAGGGGCAACAAAACTCTTATCAACCTACCAGACCAGCGAATAAAAGTGACACATTTTCACAGCAACAAAACGCAATGAATAAAAAAAACAACAGTCTGTGTGCATGCATGTCGACAAACTGACCTCAGATAGTGCAGGTCCGAGATCTCCTTCATGCAGAGCCAGCAGAACTCGCAGCCGCAGACGGCGCAGGTCATGTGGTTACAGCTGCCGTCGTTCATCTTGATGATATAAGCGGCGCACCGCGGACACGGCTTAATGTCGTCGGCTGAGAGGGACAGAAAGAGAACAGGATTTCAATGTGCATGATAGAATTAACTCTTCCGCTATCGAACAAACGATACGCCTGGTCGGTCAGGTTAGGTCTTCTAAACTTCATCATGGTGAGAGAAAAAATAAACATTTGTAAAGCAGTTAAGTAACAAATAGTTGTCACATCTCACAGCATTCTGACCAGGCAGCAACCTCCAGTTCGAGTGAAGCCGATGCGGAAGTGTCTTAAAGCTGCATTCTCTCTAATGTCCACCAGGGGGCGACTCCTCTGGTTGTATGAGAAAATGACTACTTCTCTCTTGATTTATTCCCTCAGTAAACATTGTAAACATGAGTTTATGGTCTCAATCTCTAGTTTCAAGTCTTCTTCAATGCAGCATGATGTTCATTTAGTAAATGATGGTCCATTTAGAGTCACATAGACCATAAAGCAGAGTATGCTTTAGGGCGGGGCTTACTGTGATTGACAGGTCGCTGCCGCTACCTGAGCCGTGTAAGGCTTTTCTATGCCACTCCTCCGCATTCTAAATATGGTAACGTCCGTTCATTGGTTGCGAATAAAACAACATGGCGACTGCCGTAAACCAAGATGTCGACAGCAAAATCGCCGATCTCCCACATCATTACACTTGATACAAAGATCCTGACGCTGGGCATGCAAACGGGGGAAAAGAAAAGCGCAGGCTGACCTGCAGTGCCGCTCTCCTGGCTGTAGCTGAGGGAGGACGAGCGGACCGTCCTCAGGCGGAGGCTCTGGGCTCTCTGCTGCCGCGCGGCGTCACAGGTCTGGTTGGGATGCCATAGCTGCTTGCAGTGGTAACAGAACTCCGTGCCGCAGCCCTCCCTGCCGCATGTGATCTTGGGACAGCTGGCGCACCCAAAAGCGATTACTGCGTACCTGGAGGGAGACAAACACGGCGTTATCAGGCAGGAGTTACGATTAACCACCGCACAATGACATCCCAGAATGAGTTTTGTCTAAATGCATGGAGGTCACAGGAAAAAGCAAAATTGGTGCAAATGAAAACAATAGCGAATTAAAGTAGCTAAAATGTCAGTTACAAGAAAGTGATGCGTATACAGGTAAAAGTATGTGCATATGAAATAAAAGGTGCAGACAACTAAATAAAGAGGGTCCTCATTTGAAAAGAGGCGATGCAGAACTGTGTGGTTCTTGTTGGTTCATAATCCACCTGTGCTGTGGAGAAAACGAGCATCCTGAACTGACACTGACAGGCCTTTCTCTTCACACTAAAAAGGTTGTCTATACGGAATTCAGAGCATTTATTTTGCCTCCACCACGCCTCTCAACATGGCGACGGTGGTGCCGGCGGCTCGCAACCAACAGTGCTGACGGAGCTAACAGTGTTAACCTGAGGTGGAAACGGACGGTTGCTTCCGGAACAACATCATCGGTCGGAACAAACGTCGAAAAGAAGCTCTAAATACAACACGCAGAAGGAGTGTGACTCGATTCTCTGCTCACGTAGACGTCACTCCACGATATCTTTGCATAGACAATCGTTGTTTGCTGCTTCATTAATGCTGTGAATGTCAAATGTAGCACTTTTAAACATCTTCTTTTGAAAAACATCTTTCTTTGGCCATGTGCTGCGGATGTCGTCTACCACTGCTACCTCCGCCACAAAGCTCACAAGAAACAATTTGTTTATTCAAATTAAAAAACTTGGAACCTAAAGGGCAGCAGTTCCATTTTGCACAGCAAAGGCTATAATGTGAGACTGTTGTCCAGACCATCAGTGAGTAAATTAACATGATAAGTGTGATCTTGTTCTAAACAGAACATTTTAAGTGTCCGTTGTATTGTGTTAAGAGTCTGGAGTAGAGCCCACAGCTGTTGTCAGTCTGCCTGGTGCCTTCATTAGCGGCAGCTTCTTAAATTGCATGTGTATTAACATGACACACGGCACCGCGAGCGAGCACCCCTGACAGAGTGACGTGATGCGACGTGTGACGCTTTCAGCCGACAGGCGGGACACAACAGCAGGTAGTGCTGACGAAGAGACGATTCAAAGAAATAAGAAAGGTCCATCTGCTCAAAGATGACAGCTGCAAACTACTGGCTAGCCCATGTCCTGAGGGAAACCCTGGAGCGCGTTACGTAGTTGGATCTGACTGGAGCCTCCCGGCCCCCCTCTGTGACCGACCCAAGATTAGGTTTCAATCACAGAGCCACGGGGAGCCTGGGAGACTTCCTCCGCTGCGGATTGTTTTACTGTGCTGAGGGATTGAGTCTACAATGCAGACAGACAGTGAAGTATAGCAGAGACGTGTCAATCTTGTTCAAAATCGTTGTCGGTGAACCACCACGCTACACAGACCACAGACGACTGGACAGATGTTAGGGAGAGAGAAGGCCGCGGCTGTGGCGCTGCCACAACAACAGAACACCAGATCGGTTTAGATCACAGCAGTTTCTGTTTAACTACTTTTCACACTTTTAAAGCCCCCTAAATGTACAACAATAACAGTAACTAACATCAGCGTCCCCGTTTCTACAAATCCTTCCTACCAGAGAGTCTGGCAAAGAAAGTAGTTAAACATTGTTTATATCCGACTACCACAGCAGCGACAAACAAGATATACAGCCAGAGATAAAACTGTATTATATTCAATAACGTCAAAAAAAATGATGAAAGTAATTATTAGTCTGTATGTTGCCCTGGCCCAGGAATCACTTGGCTGGCCGGATGGGTGGGCTCAGGCCCAGAACCTCTCTGATGCCTGGACAAGGTGCACCCAGTTATGTGGGCCAAATCACAGAAAGGCTGAAGCTATCGTTTCCAGGAGGAGTTCATCGGTTCAAATGGGCCTTCTGTGCAAAGTTCTCCGTCACGATGCACACAAATGAAAGAGAGCGAACAGAAAGCTGCAGAGATATTGAAAAAAATGAATTGGAAGAACAAAAATTATATCTAATTTCCCACCACAAAAGATACACATTCGCTGTCTGACAAATGTGAACACAAGAGAGGAAAGAAGGACTCTTTAAAGGATGATTACACTGTGCACTGATAGAGTTACAGTCAACACACAGCTGACCAGACATGTGTATTCAAACAGAGTACATTATGAAATACATTGACACTGCTACTGTAAAGCTTCGCTTTGCTTTGCGTTGGCATTGTGGTCTTTTGCTTATAAGAAAGGAAAAGAGAAGAAAAAACTGAGTTCTGTCTCAGTGGCTGCTTCCACCATCAATCCAATCCTATAAAATATACAAATAACAGTGAACTAACGGCAACTATGGCGGACACACTGGAGCCAACAGTCAGCCACGACACCAAATGAAGGCCAAATGCCATCAAAGTCAAACGGTTTGCTCTGTGTCAGTGCCCCAACGACTGAAAGGAGCAAGACTAGAGAAGACCAGCACATCAATATAATATCAATACTTGCTACCGTAGAGAACTACCAGAAGGCTGCCTTTGTCAAATGTTGTCCCGCCTTCAGCTCTTGACAAAACTGCGACGGGTGTCTTCATGGAAAACACTATTTTCTAACGAGCTTGGCGGATTCTTCTTTTGTAACATTATCTACATATGTGCCTGAACTACAAGGCCCCTGTGCGTCTGTTTACATCTGAACAAATGTAAGAACATAAAGTAGTTCAAACAGACATCTGACAAACATGCTATTAGTTACATTACAACGGAGGAGAACATGACTGGTACAAACACTGCGGATAAAAGCAAATGATTTAATTTAGGAAGTAAGAAGTTGTTTTTTTATATCTTTTTAATAGGAGATCTACTTTTGCACCGATGTTTTTTCCAGCAGGATCCATTTGTTTTAAGATATGAAGTATATCAGTATTAAACACAGGCCGATCTTAACCATGTCAAGTGATGTGCTACTAGATATTATATTTTAGGGACAAATATTACTGGGACCAGTAAAAAGAATTTTAAAAAATTTCAAATGAACATTTAATATCCAGGATTTCACATTATAGACACTACCACTGACTATCCCTGTAACAGTTGTTATTTATATAATAATTAGAACTCCTACAACATGTTGCTTGTAAACGGTGATTTGCTTTAGCCAGTTGAAGGCCTTGCCGCCAGGGTACACGTGATTAGTATAGCAACACCTCTGCCTCATTTTGAGCCAGGAAACACCCGGTCAACACCTGTATATCTTGGCTATATTGTAATTTCTCAAAAATATTAAGTTAATTATGCCGATACTGACCTGCCCAGTAGAGAGGACCTGCTCCAGCTCATCCAAGGCTACAGTCTTACGTTCTTTTATGCTCCAGCTAGATCAACGTTTTACACCTCTTCTCTTTTTTTTTACCCTCAAACTATATTTGCTTCTTTTAAGGTTACAGAACAAGGTTACAGAACAGGACATCCCACAAAACAAAACATCCAGCTGCCAAAGTATTCAAGGTCACTATGGCGTCATGAATAAAGGTACAAACAGTACTTGGAGAAAGTCTGATGGGACTTGGGGGGGCTTCATAGCTACCGGACCTCAAACAATTCCTGGAAGAAAAGGAAATGGCTGCGAGAGAGAAAGAGTTTTTTTAAACCCGATAGAGACGGGCTCATGGAGGCGGTCTGCTTGTGATTCTAACCAATAAGTACAACTGTTCCAACAGCGATGTGAACTGTGCCCGTTACTCAAGGCTCTCACCAGATCTCAGTGGTTCATGCTTACGGTGTGTCCAAAATGTTCCAGTGGTTTCCAAAATGTTCTTACATGCATCTCGGCCATCTAGATGCATCTTCAACAAATGTGAATGTGGACTCCTAAAGCGTTGTTTATATTTGCGCTACTAGCACGAGCCTCCGCAAGACAGTGAGCAAGCTTCGAGCATGAAGGGAGGCGTTCATACTCTGTGCGCTGCATTATTCTCCAAAACACTAGAGGGCGTACAAACAAACTTAACTGCGAAGAATCAAAAAGACCACGAGTATTACATGCATTATAAAGAAATGGTTGACTATCCTGTAAACAATTTGATTTGGTTGCAAAATATTTACTATGTATAAGATTTTTAAGACCTTCTGTTTGTAGAGCATTTAAAAGCCAATTGGCCTTTGTATAATCCCATGACATGTAAGTAGTGCTTTTATAGAATTCAGAGGTTGACGACCACTCGCCGGCCGTGATTACGACCATTTCTGTCGTAATCTAATCTTTACTGTGGTGAGTTAAGGCACTTTAGACAGATGCCAGCTCATCACATCTCTGTACAGATAAGGTGCTGATGTGATTCGTCAGTGAGACGCAGTTACCATTCGACCCTGCAGGGCCTCTACAAAGTCACGCTGCGGTGACTGTGAGGGGGTCGGGGGGGGGAGCGAGCCAACGAGCTGTCACCCAGGAAGGGGATTACACAGCAAAACAGTCCAGCACTACTGGATCACTGTTTGGGGGGCATGCAGTCAGCACGACAGACAGAACTGAAGCAAATGCATAAAGAAAGACAGGCAGGTAGAGAATAACAGGGCAGACACAATTATTCTAAACTAAAATATGTATTTGATTAGTTTAAAAACAAAACAAATATTCAATACCTCACACGCACTGAAAGCACTGCATGATGGGAGTCACACAAAGTCACTTTCATAAATTGAAAATGAAGGGATAATTCAACAGCGATGTAATAATGGCAGAGAAATCAACAGAGAGAGAGACGTGTCCTAACAGCAAGCAGTATGTTGCGTCATGTAAACAAACCAGGTAGCGATCAGCTGCCGTGTGTTGTGCTTGCCGTTTTCTGACGTACTTTTTAAAATAGAAAACACAAATTCAACGTTATAGCCGACAGTCGTTCTCCCTCCAGCCAGCTACCACCTTTTTAGGTTTCTGTAGTGAAGTGAGGAGGTATCATAAGAGATAACTCCTCATTTCAACTTCACCAATCAGCCGCTGACTGTCCATTGTGACGCTTTCAAAGTGTGCGACAGGTTCAAATAGAAACAGGGTGTGTGAACATATGTTCAGCTCCAAATGACAGAAATCCTGTCGTGTGTGCGTCTGCCTCTCAATCCTTCTAGCCCTCTCTGTGCATAACTTCCTGCATTCCTGTAGTTGGTGGAAGAAAATGGCTTTAATCTTTTACATTTACTTAGGGGAAACCACAAATGTTCTTTCATACAACCATGTGGTAACCAATCAAAACAAGCGCTTTATGTGTGCACGTAGTAGCAAACAACTATGTGTTACGTAAAGATATGGTGGAGTAATGTCTACCTGAGCAGAGAATGAAGTCCCTCTCCCTCTTTGTGTTGTGATCCTGTGATTATTTCTGACCCAGAGATCACGAGATAGAGGAGGGAAATTTTAAGTAAAAAATTGGCTGAATTTCTTTGGCTAAATGTCCTTAATTTGCTAGGGTACAAACTTCATATCGCATCCTTAACTAAGGTGTTAGAGATTTTTTTTTAGAGACTTCTGTGGCTTTTAGAGGATCAGTGTGAGTGTTTGTTATTCATGCGTCCTTGTATTTAACTTCACTTCTTACCCACAGTCCGGCGCGGGGCACCAGCGGCAGTCGGGGTCGGCCACCAGCCACCTCCTCAGCATGAACTCCTCGTATTTCTCCATGAGCGCCCGGTCACCCAGGATCAAGCGGATGTCGTGCGGGTTGAAGCGCTCCGAGCACTCGGGGCAGCTGATGTTGACGCGTGACTCCGAGATCTCGATGCGCAGGTACTGGCGTAGGCAGTCGATGCAGGAGCGGTGAGGACAGGTCATGATGTCCGGGAAGTTCTCCCTGGTGTGGCGCAGAAGGCACAGCGGGCACTCCAGCAGCTCTGCCGCCAGCCCACCCCCCACCTTGGAGGAGGCGGTGGAGGAGGAAGGCCCTGAGGCAGATGAGGTGGAGGCAGCAGCAGCAGAAGAGGCAGCTCCGGTCCCAGCCACAGAGAAGAAGGCAGAGTTCTTGTCGTTACACATCTCAGAGTGGATGCTCTCGATGCTGGCGATGCCGTCCACCCCTCCGAGCCCCAAGGGTCCAGGGTGCTGCAGCTCTCTGGACCTTTGGCACGCTGATTTGGACTCCCGACCCCGCCGTCTGAAAAGAGAGGCCAGGGAGAGGCGCCTCTTCTTTGGGGCCTTCTTCACAGATGGCAGGGAGATGGAGGACGTGGTGGACTGCAGGTCCCGGTCGGAGCCCATCACCCCGCCCGCCAGCTGCCGGTGCTTCTGCAGGCTCATCTCTAGGGGGGGAGGGGAGGGGTGTGCCAGCGAGGAGCCGGGGCTGGGGAGCCTGTCCCTTGCATGTGCAGGGAGGTCCGGGAGCGGGATGGGGGAAGGGGCGAGGTGGTGGATGGGGGAAGGGGTGGGCGGTCCAGAGTGGGGGGACAGGGCTCCGGAGGGCCCGTCCGCGCTTAAGACATGGTGGGTTCTCCTAATCAACCTCGTGGTCACATCTAACAGCCGGATTTTGGCGGAGGGGTGGGGGTCACCTACGGCCAAACTGATGCAACAGAACCTGGAGAGAGCAAAAGAGAAGGGAGAAAAGAAACAAGTAGTGGGAGAGAAGAGGGAGAGATTTTAATATATGTTCACATTCAATTTCAATAAACAGTGAGAATGCAGTGACAGAGAAGTCGTGATTCATTCAATCACTAAAGACCGCTTTAGTATTTTTTTCAGCAACGTCAAACTAATACAATAAATCAAATTTACAAAAGGGCCAAGAGTGGCCAGATGCATTGTTGCTGAGTCACAGCTGAAGCGCTCGTTGTTGGAGTCATGTCATTAAACAGCACTGGGATCTGGCTAATGATAAATGTTTTTCTTGCATTTTTTAGGACGGTGCAAAACAGGAAATGTGGGGCGAGAGAAGGGGACCAGAACTGGTGAACCAAAAACAGGATTGGTCAGCGCTTTGGCGCATTGTTAGAACGCTGAAAAAATGTTTTGAAAAAAAATACACACATATACATACAGTGGGTACGGAAAGTATTTCATCACTCTTTGTTTCATTGCAGCCATTTGCTAAAATCAAAAAAGTTCATTTTATTTCTCATTAATGTACACTCAGCACCCCATCTTGACAGAAAAAAACAGAAATGTACAAATTTTTGCAAATTTATTAAAAAAGAAAAACAAATATCACATGGTCATAAGTATTCAGACCCTTTGCTGTGACACCCATATTTAACTCGCATGCTGTCCATTTCTTCTTATCCTCCTTGAGATGGTTCTACTCCTTCATTGGAGTCCAGCTGTGTTTAATTAAACTGATTGGACTTGATTAGGAAAGGCACACACAAGTCTTTTACAGCGCTGTAGAGGAATTTCGGCCCACTCATCTTTTCAGGTCGGGACTTTGACTAGGCCACTCCAAAGTCTTCATTTTGTTTTTCTTAAGCCATTCAGAGGTGGAGTTGCTGGTGTGTTTTGGATCATTGTCCTGCTGCAGAACCCAAGTGCGCTTCAGCTTGAGGTCACGAACAGATGGCCGGACATTCTCCTTCAGGATTTTTTGGTAGACAGCAGAATTCATGGTTCCATTTACCACAGCAAGTCTTCCAGGTCCTGAAGCAGCAAAACAGCCCCAGACCATCACACTACCACCACCATATTTTACTGTTGGTATGATGTTCCTTTTCTGAAATGCCGTGTTACGCCAGATGTAATGGGACATACACCTTCCAAAAAGTTAAACTTTTGTCTCGTCAGTCCACAGAGTATTTTCCCAAAAGTCTTGGGGATCATCAAGATGTTTTCTGGCAAAACTGAGACGAGCCTTTATGTTCTTTTTGCTCAGCAGTGGTTTTCGTTTTGGAACTCTGCCATGCAGGCCATTTTTGCCCAGTCTCTTTCTTATGGTGGAGTCATGAACACTGACCTTAATTGAGGCAAGTGAGGCCTGCAGTTCTTTGGATGTTGTTCTGGGGTCTTTTGTGACCTCTTGGATGAGTCGTCGCTGCGCTCTTGGGGTAATTTTGGTCGGCCGGCCACTCCTGGGAAGGTTCACCACTGTTCCATGTTTTCGCCATTTGTGGATAATGGCTCTCACTGTGGTTCGCTGGAGTCCCAAAGCTTTAGAAATGGCTTTGTAACCTTTTCCAGACTGATAGATCTCAATTACTTTGATAAACCACAGTTAATTTATGTTTGAACAGGGGGGGGGGCAATCACTTTTTCACACAGGGCCATGTAGGTTTGGATTTTTTTTCCCCTTAATAATAAAAACCATTTAAAAACTGCATTTTGTGTTTACTTGTGTTATCTTTGTCTAATATTTCAATTTGTTTGATGATCTGAAACATAAAAATAGCAAAAAAAATAAGAAATCAGGAAGGGGGCAAACACTTTTTCACACAACTGTACACACACACACACACACACACACACACACACACACACACACACACGCACACACACACACCTCAAAAAAATAAAGGGAACACTTAAACAACACAATGTAAGTCCAAGTCAATCACACTTCTGTGAAATCAAACTGCCCACTTAGGAAGCAACACTGACAATCAATTTCACATGCTGTTGTGCAAATGGAATAGACAACAGGTGGAAATTATAGGCAATTAGCAAGACAGACACCCCCAATAAAGGAGTGGTTCTGCAGGTGGTGACCACAGACCACTTCTCAGTTCCTATGCTTTCTGGCTGAAGTTTTGGTCACTTTTGAATGCTGGCGGTGCTTTCACTCTAGTGGTAGCACGAGACGGAGTCTACAACCCACACAAGTGGCTCAGGTAGTGCAGCTCATCCAGGATGGCACATCAATGCGAGCTGTGGCAAGAAGGTTTGCGGTGTCTGTCAGCGTAGTGTCCAGAGCATGGAGGCGCTACCAGGAGACAGGCCAGTACATCAGGAGACGTGGAGGAGGCCGTAGGAGGGCAACAACCCAGCAGCAGGACCGCTACCTCCACCTTTGTGCAAGGAGGAACAGCAGGAGCACTGCCAGAGCCCTGCAAAATGACCTCCAGCAGGCCACAAATGTGCATGTGCCTGCTCAAACGGTCAGAAACAGACTCCATGAGGGTGGTATGAGGGCCCGATGTCCACAGGTGGGGGTTGTGTTTACAGCCCAACACCGGGCAGGACGTTTGGCATTTGCCAGAGAACACCAAGATTGGCAACTTCGCCACTGGCGCCCTGTGCTCTTCACAGATGAAAGCAGGTTCCACTGAGCACATGTGACAGATGTGACAGAGTCTGGAGACGCAGTGGAGAACGTTCTGCTGCCTGCAACATCCTCCAGCATGACCGGTTTGGCGGTGGGTCAGTAATGGTGTGGGGTGGCATTTCTTTGGAGGGCCGCATAGCCCTCCATGTGCTCGCCAGAGGTAGCCTGACTGCCATTAGGTACCGAGATGAGATCCTCAGACCCCTTGTGAGACCATATGCCGGTGCGGTTGGCCCTGGGTTCCTCCTAATGCAAGACAATGCTAGACCTCATGTGGCTGGAGTGTGTCAGCAGTTCCTGCAAGACGAAGGCATTGATGCTATGGACTGGCCTGCCCGTTCCCCAGACCTGAATCCAATTGAGCACATCTGGGACATCATGTCTCGCTCCATCCACCAATGCCACGTTGCACCACAGACTGTCCAGGAGTTGGCGGATGCTTTAGTCCAGGTCTGGGAGGAGATCCCTCAGGAGACCATCCGCCACCTCATCAGGAGCATGCCCAGGCGTTGTAGGGAGGTCATACAGGCACGTGGAGGCCACACACACTACTGAGCCTCATTTGGACTTGTTTTAAGGACATTACATCAAAGTTGGATCAGCCTGTAGTGTGTTTTTCCACTTCAATTTTGAGTGTGACTCCAAATTCAGACCTCCATGGGTTAATAAATTTCATTTTCATTGATAATTTTTGTGTGATTTTGTTGTCAGCACATTCAACTATGTAAAGAACAAAGTATTTAATAAGACTATTTCATTCATTCAGATCTAGGATGTGTTGCTTAAGTGTTCCCTTTATTTTTTTGAGCAGTGTATATACATACATACACACATATCATCTAGCTATACAGGGCCAGAGCACTGGTCAAAAAAATAGGGCTTAAAACAGCAGAGGCTTTAAGGAACAATCCACAGTAACAAAGACCTAGATTAATATGTTGGATTCCTTAAAGATCTACTACCAAGACGTGAGCTTGCAATCGGAATTTCGACAGAGCTGCGCCGGTTGGATCAGATTATTTCACAATTTCCTGTATGACCAAACATGAAAACTTACTTTGAGCAACTAGACACTCACACGCAGAGTGATAATATCAGTACAGGTGGCTTCTGGGGCCAATCTGATTAGCACGTCTTGACCACTTGAGAATTTCACACATTTGAGAGAAACAAAGAGCCACAGCTGAGGGAGACCTCAAACTAAAACAGTGCACAAAGAAGCTACAGTCCTGAACCAATGAGGTTAGGTCTATGTTACATTTCAATAGAGTGCATGCTCGTTTTGCATCATCAGCTTGTTCAAAATCTGCCCAGGAGGAAAACACAAATCATGTACAGTAGCAGGTTATTGTAAAGTTGTACAACAGACAGACATTTGTGATAGGTGCACTCACAAAGAACTATAATCAACCGAGCCGTCTGCAAATTCTATGTCACCCTGGCGGTTTGCTTTTTTTGATGCTGCGATTACTTTTTCCTAATTTCATGAGTTATTTGGGATTTTTGGGGTAATAGGCTTAGCCTATTTGTAAAATCCCAGTGAGCCTTAAAGTACAGATGGGCTTCAGAGGCTACAACCTCTACAAATCAACAAGGCCGTGTTTAGGAGTCCCGATCATCAACACCAGTATGAACTGTTCTCGGGTAGGTTTGTCCCACAGTTTTCTCCCGTCACTGACCTGTGCTCCCTGTGATTCTACAGTGTTGAGCGGTGATGAAAGAGGTGGAGAATGAATGTCTGTTATTTTAAGGGAGAGTGCTGCTACTGAAAAATCCAGCTTGCTCACTGGGTGTCCATGCCATGAATGTGTGTGTTTACCGGTGTCTTTGGTTACACCTTGGCAATGAGCCATGATGGGGTTGGTAACGCACAGCGAGTAGTGCCAAGGGACACACACCCATAATCTACCACGCGAGCTGGGGCCTGCAGAGCATGCTCTCACACGCCTTCTGTAGATGTGTATACTTTATAAGCACTTGCTGCAGTAAAACAACCTGAGTCAATCGGTGTCAATCTGCACCGCGACACCAAAAAGATCAAAAACAGCACTAAGCACCTCTAGAGCTGCAACCAAGCCACAGATTCTACCAGCACCGCACTACTCTGCTTTACTGACACACATGCTGCTCTTACTCCTCATGCACCCCCTCCTCTCTCTTTCTTAGTCACTCACCCACACACACACACACACACACACTATTTGACTCTAAATGGATCATCATTTACTAAATGAACATCATGCTGTATTGAAGAAGACTTGAAACTAGAGATTGAGACCATAAACTCATGTTTACAATGTTTACTGAGGTAATAAATCAAGAGAGAAGTA